AGTAACAATTTGATTAAATCAGGCAAGTTTGTGTATGAAAGCGTGATTTTTTTCTTCATTTTTTCATATAAAATTCCATGTTGATCAAAAATTTTTTATTAGTGAGTGACACTTGACCCCCTGTAGATCCGCAATGTCCTGCGACTGATAATGACATAATTTGTCAACTTTTTAGAATTTATTCTGTTATAACGACATGTCAGTATAATGGGAGAACCAATCAAAATCATCCTCATTTCTGAAAAAACATAATAATAAGGAAATAAAACGCCGGAATCAAGATTGACTGGCACCATGGAAAATTCTGATAACACTTCTGTATAATGCTGGTCAATTTGACCCGGCGTAAGTTTTAAATTTCCTGATAAAACATGAAAAAAATATATAATAAAAATAAAATTACAAAATCATATGATAATGATTCTCATATGACTTCTATATGAGCTCCCGTTATAATGACATTCTCGTCATACTGACATTTTTTGTTTGTACGGAGAGTGTTGTTATAACAGGAGTGACTTGTATTATGATATTTCCAATAATTAATTCGTTGTTATTCATAATTAATTTTGTCGCCCGTAATTAGTTTCGTCGCCTGTAATTAGTTTCGTCTCCCGTAATTAATTTTGTCACCCGTAATTAATTTCGTTATCCGTATTAGTTTCGTCACCCATAATTAATTACGTAATTACGTTTTTAAAGAGTGAAAGTGGTAATTATTTACGTTAATTACGAATTACGTATTTACGGTAATTAGCTAATTACCATATCATGTATACTCATTACCACTGATTTATTTTTTTTATTTTTTAAAAAAAAATTCCCCTTGTTGATCATCTCAAATGAATGACACAATATTTTTAGTGTCACAACATTATAAACTCACATGACCCAAATGGTTATTTTCTGCAATAGCTAAACTCACTAGGATAACTATAAAAGAAAATGAACAATTAAATGTAAAATATACTGTATGTTTGCTATTTTTAATTTAACATATGTTTTTTTATTATAATTAGCACAACAAATTATAATTAATAAATTTTTGTTGAATGGTAAATAAAGAAAACCTTGGCATTTTAATCAATGTCCCAAGTAATAATCATATGAAATCTAGGGTCTTCTGAAGCAATAATTCATGACGCAGGGCATAGTGATTCAAAGCATAATTTGTGACACAAGACATATAGTTTGTGATGCAAAGCATAGTTTGTTAGTTCTTATTATAATAATAAAGGAAGACCCTAATTGTAATCAGCAAGAATTATGTATTTTATCCTATAGTAATAATCATTAAGTATAATTAGTATAATTTGATGAAAAATTATGTAAGATTTTTATAAGAATATTATAAATTATTATTGTTACCTAAATCTATTTAAAAATAACATTCAACTTATTGCATTTTCTCTACCATCTACTATTTTTATTTCCTTCTACATCTCCTCTACCTTCTGATCATGTACATATACAATATGTAAGAAAATAGTTTTATTATTCTCATAAATAATATTTAATGGCACATTCTTCTGACCCCAAACATTCATTTAAATTTTTCTTTGCTACTTCTTTAAAAACACATATATGTCACCTATCAACACTTGTTAAATATTTGAACAAATACAGCTTCATGATAAACTAGAATAAATTTCATCCATCCTCTTCATCCTCTTCCATTTTTTATAATAGTAACACTCCAAAAACCAGATATAATTTCATAATGTTGACAGATTGCATTTATAATTTGATTCTAATTTAAAAATAAAAAATAAAACTATTAGATTAAGAAGTTAAAAGTTGTCAGTTATGTTTAAAATAGACTTGAATTTGGTTCATTTTTATAAATATGTATGTATGTATGTTTACGTTTATAGATCAGTTATTTGACTATTTCTATAATATTTTTGTCTTGCTGTATATAGTGGGACGATTTGGTGGACTTTTTTATATTATGAAATTTACCCTGAAACGATTTGGTAATGTAAAGAGCATATAGAAAAAAATAAAAAATTTTTTTTTTCAAGGAAAATTGGTTTTTATGAAATACAAAGTAAAGGATATAAAAAAAAATTTATTTACTAAAAAAATATGATATGGTGAATTTAATCTACTTTTGCATTGTACTATGTTAAAAAAAAATGGATCAGCACTAATGATCAGAATCATCTCAAAATGTTTAATCAAACCACTACACAAGATCCAAATCCTAAATCATAATAGTACACCAAATGGTATTGCTTCTGAGAATGCTAATGCTAATGCTAATGCTAATAATGATGATAGTAGTTTGACAACTAAAACTGCAGTAATATCTATTCCTATAATTATTATGGTAGATGCTATTATAGGTATATGGGAATATAAAAAATCAAATAACAATTTATTGATAAATGGAGATGAAGTTGTGTGTTAAGGGATAGCCAAGGTGATATTGTGGGTGATCCATTCCATTCAAAAATACACTGGATCAATATCATGTGGGGCATGCCACAACAAAACCAGACAAAGTGAACATTTATGTCACAAAGATCAAAATTGTTTGACACTACAATTTTACTACAAATATAGCATGATATTTTTGTTTCTTCCACTTATTACTTAACTGATTGATGCACAGGATTATCACAATGAAAATAAAAACATTGTTTAAAACAAATTATAAATGTTACACATTCAAGTCCATTATGTTTGAGCACCATGAGTTCAGGTAAAGAACCTACAAATCTTTCAATAATCATTGTTAATAATAAAATAAATATCCACATTTTCATTAACAATTTAATGGTGAATTTTTTTGTGAAGGCTGTTATTAGGCTCTTGATTTTTTTTTAACTCACAAAAAATCAACTCTATGACATAAATCAAAAATTTGATGAAATAATCAATCAACAATCTCAAATGATGAAGTTCAATATTTTAAC